CAAAAATTCTTGAAAAGGTAGTTTACAAGCAATTAATGTCCTTTTTAGAAGAACACTGTATTTTAGAAGTTTTTCAATCTGGTTTTTAAAGCTTTGCATAGTACAAAATCTGCCTTTTTAAGAGTTTTTAATGATGTGTTTTTAGCACCTGACTCAGGTGTGTTATTATCGTGCTTTTAGATTTAACTGCTGCCTTTGATACAGTGGATTATAACATTTTAATTTCCCGTTTAGAGCAGTTGGTGGGTGTTAGGATTGGTTTAGATCCTATTTGGCAGAGCAAACTTTCTCTGTGAAACTTGGTGAGTTTGTATCCTCTGCTGCTGCTTCTCTTCAATGTGGGGTCCCACAGGGTTCAGTTTTAGGCCCCCTTCTTTTCTCCCTATACCTGCGACCCCTTTGGCTCTATTTTTAGGAAACATGGGATTTCTTTCCACTGTTATGCTAATGACTCCCAGATTTATTTCCCTCTTAAAAAGATAAATGGCTTCTCAGTAGACCCTCTGCTCAGATGCCTTGATGAAATAAAGGCCTGGATGGCTTTGAACTTTTCAAAGCCAACTTGGTTCCCTGGCACAGAAAGCTAAAGTGGGGGTGGGTTTCAAAGCAGCTTGCAGTGAAAGCACAGATTCTAGGAAGATTAAAACTTAAACAGCATGCACATGTAAGATTTACAATTTAGAAGGGTATCGCCAGCGTCACGGCAGCTGACCTGACAGGAGTCTGTTGACCTGGTTTTAGAATGGAAAGAAAATATCATTCTGAATGTTTTATTTACCACCGCTCCAACCTTTTTCTTAAATATCTTCTTTTAAAAACAGCCAATTTGTTTTTTAACCTCAGCAGCTGTAAGTTTGTAGTCACCTTTACATCATTGTTGAATCGCAGGTGAGTAAACATTCATTTTCCTTCGTAAGTAGTATTAAATCCACAAACGTATACACACACAAACACAAACACACACACACAGATTTTTCATGTAGGGTCACCTTCCTTCTTGTAGAAGACCAGCTCAGTCTTGAACTCCCTCCTTTCATCCAGGGCTCCTTGGATCTGGGCCGTTGACCGGTCGCTCGTTTCTGGGCCGTACAGGAAGTGACACGCGCAGCTCTTCTGCATGAGTTCGGCACGGGCGTAACCAGTGAGCTCACAGAAACCATCAGAGCAGTAAACAATGGGGTACAGTGACTGCACCTGGGCGTTTCCCAGAACAAAGTTGCTGTCTGTAAAGAGAGAGAAGAGAAAGCAGAGAGCAATCACTATGACTGTGTCATGAAGACAGTTGGCAGAGCTAGTGTTCATACATACAGCCCCCAAAAGGATGTTTTTATATCCATTAAGCCTAAAATCGATGTAGTAGACCGCTAGTGTTTGTGATAAAAAATACATAAACTCAGCCACCAGAAAACAACAAAAGCTTGTCAGACTAGCTGTGACTCCGACTGTAGCCTTGGAGCAAAAAAACTATGACTGTGCAATCAGTGTTGGGCTCCTGAAGGGTTGGGCTGGTAAACAACAGGCTAATTTATACTGCCAATCATCACATTAGTTAACCTGGTGTAAAAGTAGGCCACATGTTTCACTTTCTTACAGCTATAAAACCCACAGCCTCTGGATGGCAGGAGGAGGGCGACCCGTCTCATTCAATTCTGTTGCCTTTGAGAAGCGTCTAACACCATACTCTTTTGAGAGTGAAGATGGCAACGAAAGTAACTAAAAGTAGGATGGAGCTACTGAGAGGTAAGGTAGAATACCAAGAATAAATGAAAGTGAATGCAGTTTACTAGAAACCACACACAGAGCACAGGTGATCAATGAGTTCAACAAGAAATCCAGTCGTTCTGACATTTCTGATGTTTACCTTCTAGATTCAAATGGAAAAAAGGACATTTATGGAGAAAATAAGATCGTGTTGTATATTAAAATGCACTAAAAATAATTTGACTTGTAGAATCAGTTTGGAGCAGTAGTGTATGGATGCACTGCATGGACGGTTTCTGTGGTTGCGTGAAGTGTAAAACTATTCATTAAGTGAAATAAAATAAAAACTTACCTTCTAAAAAAAATTGAATCTCTATTGTATACTTGTTTAAGCTAAATACAGCACCCATATATACACATTTATCATATTTTACTTTAAGTCTTTGTGGACTTAAAGTAAAATATGATAAATGTGTGTTAATGGGACAGGCTCCACCCCGACATGCCACACCAAATCCCTGCTCACAACCCTGAGTTGGATAAGCAGTTAAGAAAATGGATGGAACTATTTTATTTTTATTTTTAAATTAATTTTATTTATTTATAAATTAATGTAAAATCACTGTAAATGTAATAAAACCGAATTTTCTTGTTTTTTAAATGTATCTGTCTGTACACATGCATATTTAGATTGTTAAAATACATTCACAAATGTAATCATAATTTCACAAATATTTGTCCGTTATTTGAAAGATTGAACTGTTAAATTCAAATGTAATGCTATGGAAAAATATATAAAATGATTCTTAGAAACTTTTGTTACATCAAATAATTATTGTTATTATTGTTATTTAGGGCAATCGTGGCTCAAGAGTTGGCAGTTCGCCTTGTAATCAGAAGGTTGCCGGTTCGAGCCCCGGCTTGGATACTCTCGGTCGTTGTGTCCTTGGGCAAGACTCTTCACCTACCACCTACTGGTGATGGCCAGAGTGGAATTGAAAAGCGCTTTGAGGGTCTCAAAAAGCGCTATATGAATGCAATCCATTATTATTTAAACCAACGTTTAACTGTATATTTCTGTACATTTAAGTATTATTATTCATATTGCCGCATTCATTGACCTTGTTTATAGGTAATTTCATTGTTTAATCACATTAAATTGTTCCTAATTTAATGTTTAAAAGCACTTGAAAAAGGCAAAATACCATGTAAAATTAGGGCAACAAACTGTATTATCATTACTGAAAACAATAATAATA